ATTGGCAAGGGTTCTTCACCAGGTACCACCCCTAATTTAGGAAAACAGGAATACCAGGGCACAAGTCCCAGACCATCTAGCAGGTAAGCCGTGATTAAACCTGAGTACCACAGAGAACAGAGGCATTGTGAATGTTTGTACATAGGGGCAGAGTGTTAGTACCAAGGGTAATGGTATTATTGCAGTCTGCAGAATCCAGAGTACCCACAAAGTGTATTCCCGAGGAGTTAAAGGAGTCTGTAATGCCAAAGAGAGGAATGTGAAAGAGATAAGGGGTAGTAGTGACATTTGGCTTGGAGCAATTAACAAGTGGTAAAGTGAGAGAATCTAATAGGACAATGGGTGAGGTCACAAATGGTGGGTGAGCATTTGACCCTGTGGTCAAACATAACCAGCATTCTCCAAAATGGTCAGCCGAAGCATCATTCAATAGCTGATATGTGGTAATTAGGGTCTGAAACAAGAGATGGTGTGACAAGGAGGTGGGAACCTTTGAGGAGCTTGGACCACTTGTACTCTATCCATTCCTAGGAGCTGAGAGAGTGGAATGTGTGCCCTCTATATTTTGAGCATATCTGGTGGGCAGATTTGATAGATGCTATAGTAAAGCTTCCCAATGACTCCCATTTTCCAGTTGGAATGCCATGGGTCCTTAATCATAATGTAAAACATTCCCCATTCTTCATAACTGGCATAGTTTTTCCTGCATATGCATTATGTTTCCAGCAGTCCCCAGACCCTACCACATGAGTGGTGTGGTTGAACTGCTGGGCATATGTCTCCTGAATCTTAAATCTCCAAATGTAGAGTTTGATAGCAATATGACTGAGTAGGAAGAAGTAGAAGGAGAAGAGGTAGGACATGACCTGATATGGTGGGGCATGAGCCTTGACAGGTTGGTGAGGTCTCATTATTCTGAGACCAGAGGCAGGCTGGCGGTCTGTATGCAGTTTTTGGGGTTCTCTCTTTGCTAATTGACAAGCACGGGTTAGAACTATCAATTCCGCCTGCTGATTTGTGGCATGGGCTAGAAGAGCTTGTGTTTTGACCACTATGGTAAATTTCCTTCCAGGGTTGGGCTGTTTCTTTGCAGTCCCAGCTGTCAGAGCTATGCTAAACAGCTCTAGGTGTCCGGGACACATTCAGGGCAGAGCTGTTGTTCTGAGCAGCTCGAGGTGTCCGGGATACCTTGCCCTCCAGGGCTGAAGTGTCTCCTTGCAGTTTCAGCCATCAATTTACTAACATTTTGGTGCTGAAACCCAGGACACCAAACCCAGAGTTTTTGCAATTTACTAACACAGACTGCATCCCACAGCTCCAGAGAGGCTAGCTAACAGGGAAAGACGCTAGGAGGGACACATGGATGACCCTGTGAAAGGAGAAGTGAATGAGATCTACATGAGCGGACTGGGTGTGGTGGGGTGGCAGAGGGCGAGGAGTGGGGGAGGAGAACATAGGGAAATGGGAGGGTCAAGCTGGAACAGGGGCAGAGTGGGAGGGCAGGAAGGGACATACCATGATAGATGAGGACATCATGGGAATAGGAAGAGGCAGGGTGCTGGGGAGGCTCTCAGGAATCCACAAGGTTGACCCCACCTTGGTCTGCTGGCAGTGGTCCAGAGGGTGCCTGGACTGGTCTACTCTGGTGATGGGTCTAGCAAATAACCTAGCTGTCATCATAGAGCCTTTGTCCAGTGACTGATGGAGGCAGATACAGAGATCCACAGCCAGGCACCAGGCTGAGCTCTGGGAATCCAACTGATGAGAGAAAGGAGGGATTTTGCAGGCGGGGGACACCGAGATCATGATGGGAGGACATGCAGAGATGACCAGCCACACTAGTGGAGGCCCATGAACTGTGGACTGGTGGCTGTGGAGACCCCATGGGACTAGACTAGGCCCTCTGGATATGGAAGATGGTTGTTTGGCTTGAATTGTTTGGGGGGCACCCAGGCAGGGGGATCAGGATCTGTCCCTGTTCTATGGGCAGGCTTCTGGGAAACGGTGCCTGTGATGTGACACCTTGCACGGCCTTGGTGCAGTGGGAAGGGGCTTGGACCTGCCTAGGCTCAGTGTGCCTGGCTCTGCTGACTCTCCATGAGAGACCTTGATTTGGGGGATGTGGGGATGCGGGGTGGCTTGGGAGAGAGGGCTGGGGGCTGGGAGGAGGGAGGGGGTGGGATCTGTGGGTGGTATGTGGAGTGAGTAGAAAATTTCTTAATAAAGAAAATGAAAAAAAGAATATGATTACTACTATTATATTATTATCATCATCATTATTATTTTAACAGGTTCTCACATTGTGGTCACAGCTGGCTGGTATTCAGTGTGTAACCAAGGCTGGCTTCCATTTGAGGTAATCCTCCTGCCTCCTTAAGTGCTAGGATTACAAGTAAACCACTGCTATATAGCTCTTTCCTCAGGATTGAAACAATCCCTCTTGGAGGCTCGTAGGATCCAGAAAGCTAAGGAAATTTACAAGGCTCAGGAAGCTCAGACAGTTAGTTACAAGATTGGGGTCAGGGAACTCAGCTCAGGTAGTGACGTGCTTGGGGTGCAAGCTCTAGGAGCTGAGTTAGGTCCCTAGCACCCATATGAACAGCTCCATGTGGTGGAGTACACTCATAATCCCAGTGCTGGGGAGGCGGGCACAGAAGGTTCCCCATGGCAGCCAGTCCGGCCTAGTCAGTGAGCACCAGGGTCCAGTGAAGAGAGCTGAGGAATGGTGTCCAAGGCTGATGTCTTGGCCTCTGCACACATGTACACACATATGCAGCAACCTACATAGATGAGAAAGTACACACACACACACACACACACACACACACACACACACACACACACACACACACACAGTAACTAAATAACAGAATGTTACAAGATTCATATGCCCTCTCCCCAAGGTTCTGTAAGCACTAAACAATTGGCTAGGAGAGAAGACTCTTCTATGCAGTTGCCTGAAAGCTGAGAACAGCAAGCAGTGTTCCAGGGAGGCAACTTTGATGAGTCATCATCTATGCTGGGACAGCGGTTGGGGGCCTTTTCTTGTGATGCAACGGCTTTTAGGTCACTCATTTCCTGTAAGTAACCCCGATCAACTAGACAGATTTGGGTGGAATCATTTGTTTGGGCTGTCATCAGTGCAAACAGACGTTTGTACACTGACTTGACTTCAGGATTTCAGGATGGGGACAAGTCACAGGAAATACAAAAGCAGGTCAGAGATTTCTGGTTCACCTCACCAATGGCCAATAACTTCTCAGGGTTATATACAGAACTCTCCATAATGATCCAAAAAGGACAAGCAAGGTTTAGAGCTTCAGCTCCAATAAGATGTAGTTCCTATAAATCATGGCTGCAGATCATGGTAGCTCTGTGGCCCTACTCTTATCAACTCTTTTTTTTTTTTTTTAATTTGTCAAGACAAGTTTCTCTGTGCAGCCTTGGCTGTCCTGGGACTCATTATGTAGACCAGTCTGGCCTCAAACACAGAGATTTGCCTGCCTCTGCCTGCTGGGTGCTGCGTCTAAAGGCATGTGCCACCACTGCCTGGCTAACTCTTTATTCTCTCTTTTTTTTTTTTTTTGGTTTTTCAAGACAGGGTTTCTCTGTGTAGCTTTGCGCCTTTCCTGGAACTTGCTTTGTAGACCAGGCTGGCCTCGAACTCACAGAGATCGGCCTGGCTCTGGCTCCCAAGTGCTGGGATTAAAGGCATGTGCCACCACCGCCAGGCTCTTTATTCTTAAGTATCCTTTGTAGTAACTTCTATAATAAACATGCAATATTTTCCCAGAATCCTCTGAAAGCCAAAAAGGACTTTGAGAACCCTGAATTATATGGCCTATTGTTTAGAAATAAACGCCGGGCGGTGGTGGCGTACGCGTTTAGTCCCAGCACTCGGGAGGCAGAGGCAGGCGGATCTCTGCGAGTTTGAGGCCAGCCTGGACTACAGAGTGAGTTCCAGGAAAGGCGCAAAGCTACACCGAGAAATCCTGTCTCAAAAAACTAAAAAAAAAAAAAAAAAAAAAAAAAAAAAAAAAAAAAAAAGAAAAGAAATAGTTAAAAACTTGGGGTGTGCCTGGCGGTGGTGGTGGTAATAGCAGCAGTGCACCTTTAATCCCAGCATTCAGGAGGTAGAGGCAGGCAGATCTGAGTTTGAGGCTAGCCTGTTCTACAGAGCAACTTCCAGGACAGGGTCTACACAGAGAAACCCGGTCTTGAAAGAAAAAAACAAAAAACAAAACAAAACAAAACAAAACCTTGAGGTGCATACTCTTTATCTGTGTGAGGTGGGGCACAACCTTGGGGAAAAATTCACCTTGCGGGATGTGACAATCTCCAGGCGGTGTCAGACTTGGAAATCAGCTGGCACACGCCATAGACCTGCTTGCTTGCTTGGTGTGTGGGGAAGCAAGTCCAGACACCTGATCAGTATCTGTGCCAATTCACAGTAAAGGAAAAACTGAGTTTACATTAAAATTCGGAAATTTTCTGGTCTGGGCCTCTCAGTGGGGATGGTGAGTGGTGTGCGTCTCTAATTCTACTGCCTGGGAGGCTGAGGCAGGAGTGTTGGGAACTCAAGGACCACTTGGGCTACACAGTAAGAACCTCTCTTACCTGACCCATTCCCCACAAGACCAGAGTAAAAGTCAACATGCTGGTCAGAAGTCTAGGTTCTTGTATACATATTTGCATAGCACAAAAGGTCTACTATCATTTTAGCAATTTGAGATCATTCTGGACAAATGGTTTACTTACTGTTAGAAAATGTCTTCTTCACTACAGGTTTTCACCAAGAAGCGTGACACCATGCATCCATTCAGTTCAAACAAAATCAGATTTAAAAAAAGGAAATGGATAAAGTGTAGAATTGTACTTTTTTCTAATCTAGCCCACTGAAGTTTCAAAAAAAAAAAACCCATACAATTTCAGAAGAGAATCACCTTTAACACCTAAGTAGTTAAAAATGTTAGTAGGAAAAAAACCAATTATATACACTCTTGGGTTGTTTTCGTGTTTTATTTTCTGATTGCTGTAGTTTGCATCTGATTTCTTTACATTGTTCCATGGATGGGAATCTATAGCAAAAGGACACATTAAAGCATAAATGACACATTACCACAGCCAGCATTATTAGTAACTATAAACTTTCTCTGAAGAAATATAGAGCGGTTGGAATTCCATAAATAGCTGCAAGCAACTTAGAGACTCCCACCTGCTGAATTAAATAAGGATGGTGTGGTAGCAACTGCAGTGTCCACACAATACAAATATATATTCTACACGTTCATTCTATCACAGTAATTAAAGACTGCAAGCAAGATATGGTACACAGTGAACACAGGAGACATGCATCTTCTGTCTTACATGGTCCTGGATTTCCATGTGAAAAGCAAACACCAAGTGTGTCACACATACAAAGGTCTGTTACTAATCCTCCACTAATTCTATAGTAGATGCTGTTATCCTCCCTATATCCCAGGTCAGGCTTGTGAAGCTGAGGCAAGCTGGAAAGGTAGTGGTAGATAGTTGGTAGAACTGACTGGTGGTTGGGATACAGGACAATTGATCCCAGGACCCATGTTCTTCCTTTTCTATTTCTAGCACACTGTCTCTCAAGAAACTGGTAGAGGTGACCAGTCTAGTCTCTTAATTGCTCAGTCTAGTGTTTACTTACACTTGTAATACAACTTAATGCAGATTTTGTTCTTTTCTGAACAAGGATGGAAAATGATGGTTTAAGGTAAACCACAAACATGAATATAGTGTGTCAAAATCCATGGGAGTCCTACTAGTATGTAAATGAAACTTATCTTTACTGAGCAGGATGAATATCACACACTAATACAAATCTTTGTAATCTTTATGAAAGGCAGGTTAACAAACAGAACTGTCTTCATCCTGATACTTTAACGGTAAAGGCAGTTTATAATGGACATCATTAAATCTGTACAGAATACAAATTGAGTAGAAATCTAGCTATTGAAAACATGCTTTTATCTATTTGATTACTCACTCTGCAGTCAACACTGACAGTTTCTACCTATTAGAGATCTTGTTCAACACAGTCAAGTTTACTAAGACAATACCAATTAAGTAACACTACAAGTCACAAAGTTTTTAAGTGACAATTTATAGCTATGATTCCATACATGGGATGAGTAAACCAATGGCTATTTTCCAAATGAAATATAAAAATTCCTGTCACAAATACTTTGTAGTCTCCTAAAAGTAGTTCTCTTAAAAGTTAAGATGGTTAAGAAAGATTCAACAGGCAAACGACTAAATCTTGGCAAGTCTTTTTACACAGACGCTTGGTGTGGCTACTTACTCCCTTTAGCAACACACCATGCCCATACTCTATCAGGAATCAACTTCATGAAAAACAAACCCTATCAAACTGGCTCATTTATGTGGTGCTGGGGATCAGATCAAGAGCTTGGTGTGAGACTGTCAAGTTGATGAGCATTAACTTGTTATACCATCTTAGCAGGAAGAGGCTTTATTCTACTTGGGTGTGCTTGTACGCACCTATAACCCCAGCATTTGGGAGGTAAAGGCAGGGGATCGGAAGTTCGAGGCTGGCCTCAACTGTTGGTGTTTCAAGGCCAGAGTGGGGTACATGAGACCCCCCCCCCTCCATAAAACAAAATAGCATAATTCTTAGATTTCAAACACTTTATTTTTCTTTCTGGGCACTGCTTATAGAGTTGTACTATAGAAGTCAAATTAAAAAAAAACAATTTCCTTGAAGACCACTTCCATTCCTTATTTGAAATAAAATTGAATCAACTCCCATTGCAAACACACGGCAAAGAACTCTTCCAGGTAGCGTTTGCATACCGGTGACAACTGTATTCAACTATTTTCAACCAATGACTCCACATCTTCCGGGACACAAGAGCACTCATTAATGCTGCTACTATTTAGGCAAGAAAAGAGAGAAAACCACCAGAAGGTACAGGAAACGGGTTCATATGTAATTTCTGAAAATCCTCCAAATCCTGTTTGTTACAGGAAGTAGAAAATTAGCCTTTGAGCTGTATCACCTATGTAGAGTTAAAACACTGCTCATAAACTAATGCATAACTATATACACTGAAAATTCAGTAAAAATGGCTTTTCATTTTTATTGTTGCTTTTGAGACAGCGTCTTATGTAGCCCTGGTTGCTATTCAACAAAAATCCTCCAGTGCTGGGATCACAGGTGTATGCCACATCCAGCTGGTGAAACACTTTTAAGGTCCAGAGGTCTAATTACTGATGAAGACAAGGGCTAGTTTAAGCCCTTGTTCTCAGATACATTCTGCCTAGAGAATCACTAAGAAACTCCTCAGAAGAAGAAACAGACTGCATCACTTCATCTTTCCTACTGTGGTTATGGTACCTCTGATTTTGAAGCTAAGTAGGAAAACCTGAGATGAAGTCATAGTTAAGAAAGTGATTAGAGCAGGGTGGTGGTGCACACCTTTAATCCCAGCACTGGGGAGGCAGAGGCAGGTGGATCTCTGTGAGTTCAAAGTCAGCCTGGTCTACACAGTGAGTTCCAGGACAGCTAGACTATTATACAGAGAGACCCTGTCTCGAAAATCAAAAAAAAAAAAAAGGGGGGGGGGGATTAGAGAAGATCTTGTTTTTTGAAAGCATGTAAAGGTGCATTCCTTTGTGTATTACTTTTCATTAATGAAAAGTTTTCTGGATGCTAGTAGAATACAAGGTCCACAAGGTGCATGATGGACCTCGTTTAAACTTGCATGCTTTCAGTGTGTACAGTGAATTCTGACTAGCCCAGCTCTAACTGTAGTAACTCCTAAATAAGAGCAAACCTAAATTCCCAGTAGAAAGACAATGGGACCTCCTTGGGTCTTCCCCAGACTGTCTACACAGTAAACTTGTCCCAAATGTAAAGTCAGAGTATACAAGCCTCTGTAGCATGCTCTTTTTTTCAGATACAGGTCTTAGATTTAGAAATGAGAAGACATCTTTTCACTAAGTTTGTTTTTGAACTCTTGATCCTCCTGCCTGGACCTCACAAATGCAGGGTTACAGGTCATGCCATTCTATCAGGCTTAAGTTTGTTATTCCCTCATTCCCCCCCCCCCCAGTTCAGGGTAAGCCTGAAAAAGCATTAATTTATACTTTTGTCATATAATATATTGTTATGAACTTAAATCTTCACTTGCCTATATATTTTATGTGTTTATAAAGCACTCAATTGTAGCTTATGTGAATAAGACTCCTGAAAAAGCAATACCCCAACATAATCTTTCTTTTTGTTAAAAATATTCTACACACATGAGTAAAACAATCTTTTCCTTGTTTGGGAATTTCCTCTTCACACTAGTTGTGAAAGGAAACCATCTCAATAATTAAAATAGTATTTCCAATGTTAAGACAACTGAGCACCACCTAGTGTTCAATTTCTGTAACTACTGACCTGAATTCAAAATTGGCATTAAAAACCAGTTTCTAAAAACATTTTGGAAGTGCCTTTCCTCCCCCAGTAAGTTGATGACTGCAAAATAAAATCATGAAAAGAACTTATATGTTATCAAAGCTAGTATAAAAATAGCCACAGACTTAAATATGAAAAGCAGACCTATCATTTTTGCCTTTAAATAGATTTCTGCCAGGTGTGGTGGTACATACATATAATCTCAGCACCCAGGAGGCTGAGAAAAGAGGATCATAGTGAGTTTGAGGTCCACTAGGACTATAGTGAACTCCAAGCTAGCTTCAGATACAAAGTTTGACTCTGTCTCAAAATATAACAAAACAAACCAAAAAACAGATTTCTGCCTCCATTTGTATCAAAATCTCTGGGCAACTGGAATATACACAAAGACTGTACAGTCAACAGCTATGCAACAGGAGGGCTTAATCATAGTTTATAATGAGTACAAGGCAAATGGTTTATTCAAAACATCCATTTACTTACTGGAAGGGGTCAAAGTAGGAAAGGCAGTAATGTATTTTTTTTTTCTTACATGATCTTCTTGAGTTTCATTACATCAAATGAACAAAGTGGGCTTAACCTAACAGTTAAGATATTATCAGTTTTGAAAGAAGCGACCTTAGTATTGAATCAAATCTGCCTCAACAAATTACAATCATAGTTGTGAAAACTTTTCCTTAACATCTAGGATCAATTCCAAACTTGCAGGGCAATCTTCAAAAGGACTGGAATGTCAAATGTTGAGTTCACTTTAGATCTGAAAGAAAAAAGAACATTAAGTCAAAGGAAAAAATAATTCTAAAAAATCCTTTCCATGTGTGCAAATTCACGTGTGCCACTGTGGGCGCTGTGTGTGTGTGTGTGTGTGTGTGTGTGTGTGTGTGTTGGGAGGACTGGAGGAAGAGGACCTCAGGTGTTGGTCCTCACTTTCAACCTTGTTTGTTCACCGTTGTAGATGTCAGACTAGCTGGCCTAAGAACTCCAGAGATTCCTGTCTCCACCTCTGACCTTGCCACAAAAGCACTAGGTTTAGAGAAGTTACTGTAGGCAGCTCTATGTGGAGTCTGTGGAGTTGAATGAAGATTCTCTGGCATGCCTGGCAAGCACTTTATCCTGAGCCAATTCAAAAGAAAAGAACTTACATCCTAGCACTCTGTGCATAAGGGAAATGTTGTCATAGGCTATATAGGAAATCAATCCAGTCTGAAGAGAAAATTCCCCAAGTAAGCTTCTCTCTATTGCAGCTCACTTTCAGAAATTCTGACTTCCAAAAAAGTTTATGTGATACATATTATTTTTCTAAAACACACACACACACACACACACACACACACACACACACACACACACACACACAATCTGTGTGTGCAGGTACCCACCAAGATGGCACTGGATTCTCTGGAGCTGGAGTTATAGGCAGTTGTGAGAACCAAACTGAGGTCCTCTGCAGCAGTAGTAAGTGTTCTCAACCACCCAGCCACCTCTGTAGTCTACTGGAATATCTTTGTTGGTGGTGTTTTTCTTCTTTTTAGTTTTGAGACATGGTCACACTCTATCTATATCCCTGGCTGACTTAGAAATCCACCTACCTCTGCCCCCTGAGCGCTAGTATTAAAGGCTTGTGCCACCATGCCTGGCACCTGAGAGCATTCCAAGGTTTCTTTGTGTAGCCCTGGCTATCCTCAAACTCACAAGAGATCCTCCTGGTGCTGGGATTAAAGGTGTGTACCACCATGCGGCACCTGAGAATATATTTAATGAGGTTTGCTGTCTCCTTCCTTTTGCACTACTTATCTGAGATTTTATTTTATATTTTACTTCTTAAACTAAATAAAAAAGACTAGTTTCCGCCCCCCCGCCCTCTCTTTTGGTTTCTTGAGACAGGGTTTCTCTGTGTAACAGCTCTGGCTGTCCTGGAACTTTTGCTCTGTAGACCAGGCTGGCCTTGAACTCACAGAGATCCGCCTGCCTCTGCCTCCCAAGTGCTGGGATTAAAGGCGTGCACCACCACCACCACCACCACCACCACCACCACCACCACCACCACCACCACCACCACCACCTGGCTCTAAGTTTTCTTTATTTGCATGTCTGTGCCTGTGTCTGCACTTATGTATGTGGGTCCAGTGGAGGCCAGAAGATGGTATCAGGTTCCAGGAAGCAGGAGTTGCAGGCAGTTGTGAGCTGCTTCCTTGTGTGGGTACTAGGAACCAAAACCAGGGTCCTCTGCATGAGCAATAAGCATTCTTAACCACCGAGCCATTTCTGCAGCCCTGATTTGAGATTTTCTATTTTAGGAGGAGTAATAGACATGAGGGAACATGACCTCTTTTGAGAACTACTTAAGTATGTCTTCAATCCTTTTCTTTCGATTTGGTTATGGGAGTACAGATAGAACACCTATTAACACTTAGAAAACAGCAGGAGAAATGTCCCCTAAGGGAAAAAGCAGAGTTCTCAGGAACTCACTCTGTAAACCAGGCTGGCCTCGAACTCACAGAGATCCGCCTGGCTCCACCTCCTGAGTGCTGGAATTAAAGGTGTGCACCACTGCTGCCTACCTACAAACTGTCCTCTCATTTAAAGCAAACAAACAAACCCCCCAAGAAATGGCCTGAGGCTCTCTGGAACCCACATGAACTGACCTCTACATGCATGCTCTAGGAGGAGTATGTTTGTCCTTCCATAGAAACACACAGAATGAAGCAATGTTTCAAAATAATGTTCACAACAATGTAAATTCTGGGGTGGAGATGGCTCACTGGTTAAAACTGTCACTGCTATTGTAGTTTTGTTACTGGCACCCACACTGGGTGTATAACAACTACCTTTAACTCCAGCTCCAGAGGATCTGATTCCCTCTTCTGGTCTCCATGCGCACCCAACCCACACATACTACACTTGAGTAAAAAAGCAAAATAAAGATATTTTTAAAGAAGAACAGAAATTCAGCATCACCCTCCCCTTCACAGACCTACTGCTTCCTATTTTTCTTTTCTTTCCCTCTCCTCCTCTCTTTTTGAATTACTCAGGGCCTTGTACATTCTATGGAAGTACTTTACTACTGAGCTACATCATAAAAAAAGGGGGGAAGGGGAGGGAGGAATGCTTTTGGCTAGGCTTAAGATCCCCAAAGAAAACTACATTAAAAATGTTTTATGGGCGGTGGTGGTACATGCCTTTAATCCCAGCACTTGGGAGACAGACCCAGGTGAATCTTTGTGAGTTCAAGTCCAGCCTGGTTTACAAAGTGAGATCCAGGACAGGCTCCAAAAGCTACACAGAGAAACCCTGTCTCAAAAAAACAAGCAAACAAACAAACAAACAAAAAACAAACAAATAAAAAAAAGGTTTTAAGAAAAAAATCACTTTCTATTATGGCGTATCCCTTAAAATGTTATTTATTTTTTGTGCATATCACACCTGTGCCTAGTGCCAGAAGGAGGCATGAAGTCCCCTGGCACTGGAGTTACAGATGGTTATGAGCTAACATGTGTTTTTAAAAATGTATTTAGTGAGGCTGGAGAGATGGCTCAGCGGTTAAGAACACTGGCTGCTCTTCCAGAGAACCAGGGTTTAATTCCCAGTACCCACATGGCAATTCACGGCTATCTGTAACTTCAGCTCCAGGGGACCTGATGCCATCACACAGACATACATGTATGTGGGTGAAACACCAATGTACATAAAATAAAAAGTTATATGTATTTTTTAAAAAGCCCATTTGTTAAATAAAATAAGAATCTTTTAAAAGTATTTAGTTTTACTTTTTCATAAATGTATGTTTGTCAACAGAGGCTAGAAAAGGGTTTCAGAGCCTTTGGAATTGGAGTTACAGGCAGTTATGAGCTGTCTGATGTGTGTTCTGGGAACTACAGTTGGGTCTCTACAAGAATAGTATGCACTCTTAACTGATAAAACATTTCCTCCAGCTCCTAAAACGTTTTTGTTATGGTAGTATTATATTGAAAGCTGGGTGTGGTGCAAGGTATTGCTATGTAGTTCTGGCTGGCCTGGTATTTGCTGGTATTGCAAAACCCAGGCTGACCTCAAACATGCAGCCATCAGCTGGCTTCAGCCTCCCAATTACCAGGATTACAGGTACGTGCTACCACACCTTGCTAACAGTTTGACCTCTAAATAATTCTTATGATTTAACCCACAGCCAAGTCTCAAAATACACTTTGATTTGTATATGTTAATTGGGCTTAGTAATGGTTTTCATTGTGACATTTCATACACGCAAACATTTTGCCTCTACCCAATATTCACCTACCACCCTTCTATCTCTTCACCTTCATCTTCTTCCTCCTCCTGTTCCTCCCACCCCCAAATACATACACTCAAATGTCTTCGATTCCCAGTATTATAGGAATTTAACGGCAAGGGCCAGTGTCTTTGTATGTAACTCATGAACAGAAACCAGAAAAAGCAGGATGTATCTACTTACATCATCAATGTCTTCATCATCATCCCCAATGTCATCAAACTGAATTTCATCATCATCTCCAGGACCAAATGTATCAGTTTCATTGATTTTAGCTTAAAAAAAAAACCATACAAAAGATACTGATAATATAATCAAAATACTGACTTCCAACTATCTACTAATCTTGATATATAGAGCAAAATATTAGAACATTTAGAGTATTTTAATTTTGTTTTTCTCTTTTGTTCACAAGAGTGATTTATCAAGGCAAGTTCTAACGATATTATCTCTGAAGCAATTATACCCTCCCAGCATGCTTTAGAAGTTTGTATACATACTAAAAACTTTATTTCCTATCTCAAAAAAAAGGAAGAAAAGAAAAGAAAAAGGAAAGAGTAGGTTACTTTAGGAGGGAGAAAGATTTGAGGAATCATTAATGGACTTGGGATTAGGGGCAGTTTCAAGTGTCCAGAAAACTTAACTCCTGGTCAAAATGGACCATGCAGAAGCCATCAATCAAACAAACAACAAACACTGAAGAAAAGATCAACTGATTCCTACTCATCATCAATCAGGAAGAAACATTTGGGCAAATCATGAATGAATGAAAAGGAACCAGGCATACTACTCAACCTCCAAATATCTTACTGTTTCCTAGATCAAAATGGCAAGTTTGTAATTCTCAGTAGGGTCTTACTGGTTAAAAAATGTCATGTTTTCATGAGAAAATACTTTTTAAAAAACTTAATTGCTATGTAAAAAATAAGACTTATAAAACAGTATATAAATTACAATTTCCCTCTAATAAGGTTATAGGAGGCTTGTATTTTGAGGAGGAAAACAACCCATACTACTTAATTACTGCCCCTTTACACATATAAGGGACAGACTCTAGAAGGATGTTTTTCAGTAGTGCTAGTCATCCAACCTAAGTCTTGTGCATGCTAAGGTAGCCACTACTCAAAGTGCATGGCCAACTTTTCTTGAAGGTGTTTTCAAATACCACAAGAAATAATTCCTTTGGCTGACACTGTAATTTCTCATTAAATACATTCTTATCAGTAAGAGAATTTTAGTAACTTCTTTCCTGTGGTATCTAGTATGAATTATAAGCAGGTATACTTAACTTTAATCATGTAAACTCACAAATAAATAGGAGCAACAAAATTTCATTATCTAAACACTAGCAGATAACGTAAAACCTATGACAAGTTACTAATAACCCAGTCATTACCATGCTCTGGAAGCTCGCCATACGCCTTGAGACTTCTAGCTTCATCTGCGTTGTATTTTAAAATGACATCGGCTTTGTTATCCTTAAAACAAAGACAAGCCATTTTTTTGATTATATCACTTTTACCTGTTATGCCATACACTACCTTCAAATTGAATTAAAAAAAACTAATCTCAATGTTTTGCTATAAGATCCTCCTCACCTTCCTTAGGTTGAAATCAGAAGCAAGTTTTAGGAACTTAACTGAGCAATGGTTAAAAATTCAGGAAAGATATAGCTCACTTCTGTAATAGCAGAACAGTATCTTTTATATTATTTATAATTATCCTTTAATCAGAAGCACAAATGCCCCCGTGGAACTACAATTTACAGACTGATCAAACACCGCAAGTCAAAGACTAAGACTTTGTATCACAGCCTAAGGAATTTAAAAAATGTGTGTGTACATACACACATGTATGTGTGGGTACCTGTGGAGGCTAGAAGGGGACATCAGATCCCCTGGAACTGGAGTTACAGGTGGATAGGAGCCACTTCATGTGGGTGCTGGGAACCAAACTCTGGTCCTTTGTAAGAGCAGCAAGCATTCTTAACTGCTGAGCCATCTTTCTAGCCCTGATCTAAGGAAATAAATATGCCTTTTCATATATATGTTAAGTACAACTATAATGATTATTAATCTTGTCAATTTGACAGGATTTAGAATCACAACAAAAACAAATCTTTAGGTCTGTCTGCAAGGGAATTTCTACATTAGGTTTATTAAGGTAGGAAGGTTCACCCTAAATGCAGTGCCATTCTATGGGCTGGGGTCCTGGAATGAATAAAAAACTGTAAGGCAAGAATACTAGCCTGGGAGGCAGTGGCGCGCGCCTTTAATCCCAGCACTTAGGAGGTGGAGGCAGAGACAGGCAGATCTCACTTTATAGCCCATGCTGGCCTTGAACTCAGAGATCCACCTGGCTCTGCCTCCTGAGTGCTGGGATTAAAGGCATGCGCCACTACTGCCACCCTGCAATGTATTTCTTAAAAGTATTAGTAGTGTGTGGGAGGGGTGGGGGGGGGGTACTGGATGCATCTAGAGGTCAGAGGGCAACTTTGTGGAATCCATCCTTTCCTTCCATCCTTGGGTAGGTTCTGAGTTCTAAAATCAGGTCATCAGGCTTATGTAGCTGCCTCACTGGCACCCAATTTGTCTTTGTAATTTCTTTTTTTTT